AAATCAAGATCCTGTGTCGCAGTATTTGCTAGCTTGAAAAAGATCCCTCACTGGTCCATAGCCGAAAGTGTCGAGTATAGGTGTAATTTATGAGGATATCCAAATTATGAACCCTCCAACAACAAGTAGTGATGTCTCCATATGAGTGAAAAATTCTCAAAAGGGACGTTAAACAACAAACAAACAAATGTAGTTGTCAATGAAACACTTAAGTAGGTCCTAAATTTCCTATTTAAAGGTTCATATGTACCTGATGTTGATAGTTTGACCAGTTCCTTCAGAGCTGTAGAGTCCAGTGTAACTGTAGCCTTCGCATTACTGTAGATCAAGGACTTTATGCAGTCAAGCTTTGTTCGTGTGTCTGACAGTGTCCCACCTGACACAGGATGATAATATTTCACCAAATGTAGTATCAGCATCACTACTTGAAGATTTGTCATCTTGTTTTGATTTGTTTTCAAAAAGTTATAAAAGAAATGAGAATAACACGTTAAACCTCAGGAACTATTTATATGATAAGGCATACGTACATCTGTTACAGTAAAGGATCACGCAATAAGATCTTCAAAATTTCATATATCTTTTAGTTTATGATTTTTATAAATAATTTATATTTTTGCTATCCAGTCTATTAAGATTTAAGTTTTCTATCTGATTTATGATGCCTTGGAGTGAATAAACTAGTTTGACTATTTTTTTGTGAAACATTTCTTTCTTTCATATGTTTTTATAAACAAAAACCTTTACAAATGATCATTCACGCACAATCACAAATTAATCCATATATAAACTTCAATTGATCCATACATACTTGTATATGTTTTCAGTAATTTTAAGCAATTGATACAATACATATCGAAGAGATCAAACACTCACCATCTTTTGGTATACTTAACTTCCTTTGATTCATTCATGTACTTTTCATTTCTTCCTGCAATAAAAAAAACTTTCTTTTTTAGCTATTTTAATGAAAGATAGTGAAACAGACTTTGAAAATATATTAATTTTTGTTACCAAAAGAGCATTGTTTAAAATACTTGAATTACTGAAATTAGTAATAATACTGTGTCCCTTTCTCATACATTTATATGCAAAATGAACATTTGCTATTTCTTTGTATTAATTTACTATATCATTCTGGAATCATAGTTCCGTGATTGTTCTGTTTTTAATTCGTTATCTTTATTTTGCGTCTCAGCACATTTTTGAATTCAAGAAATGCCCCCCCCCCCCCCCCCAAAAAAAAAAATCTGAGAAATTAAGAGAGATTCGAAAAGATACAATTAATTATCTTTAATTGTGTGAGCCCTGTACATAATAAAGTCTACAAAATACATAACATCTTGCATTTTTTTTCTCTGATAGAAAAATCTTAGATGTCGTTTTCGAAAAGGAAATATTCCCTCAAAAGAAATAACGCTGTAAGAAATTATATACTTTGATATTTCCTGTTGAGAATGCTGTGTAATTTTACAAGAGCCCCCTTTGAAGACAATTTAATAAAATGTATACTAAAATATGTACATTTATCTCTGTTTAGTACTGAAAATTCTTTTTTTTTATTCTTTTGTATCCCTTTCAACTTTTTTACTGAAATCATTTTCACTATGAAGTACAAATCTCAAACTTTACATTCTTATATACTTTTTAATATTCTAAATGATATCGAATACTAGTAGCTGCAAACATGTTTTCCAAATGTATCTCAACATTTATGCGTTTAAAAAAATACTTGCATTTTATAGAATCTTAGGTTATAAAGTTATGCAGATAAAGAAGAAATATTGTATATCAGGTGTTTTTTTTTTGGTTTTTTTTGGCGATGATAATTTTTTCGCTTTTTCTACGACCATTTTTTAATTTGCAAAATATAAAACACACCGAAATTATATCAGTTATAACTGCAAATTTAGACCTGTAGTCGGCAATAAGGGCCTTTGAGCAGTAAGGAATTTTTCGCACCAGCATCCACTGGTTTATACGGCCTCATCCTAAAGGACGATTTCACACAGAGGATTCGCACCTGCGACGTTAGGACCAGATCGATGTTCATTTAAAAAGATTATCATTTAAATACTAGTAAAATGAATTCAAAAACATGTCTTTTCATGAATTTTCTAACAATTGGTAAAACTGACACAGGTGGATAATTATATCAATTAAATTTTCACCTGATTAAAAAAATAGGGGGCTATCTCTAGCTTTTTTTCTTTCGGATGGAACCTGACCTGACCACTTCTTATAAACATTTTGAACACAGAAGTTAATCGGCGATCACATCTAACATAATTTTCAACCATTTAAAGAAATAGCATCTAACCTAGTTGCCTTGGAATTTGACGTAGCTTTTATTTCCTGTTTAACTAAATCAATTGAAAGATATTCAGTACATATACCAATTAATGTTCTACTTTTCATACTGCTTTTCAATGTTCAAATGTGCTATTAATTGTTATATGTACCTTGACCTATGGAGAGAACGATTACAGACATTTATGTTGCTGTTCAATCTGTTCAATTCATATGTATATATAATGAAAAATGTACTTTAAACAAATATTCACTACAAAAAATTAATGACATACTAGTAGTTTAAGGGTTCTCAAAAATTTCGATACATTTCTCTTTAACGTACAAACTGTCCATTTAAAATTGAGGATATTAGCATAATAATCATAATAATAAGAATATAAATAAATGAAGTAAAATATAAATTGTGAATATCGATTCATTGATATCTGTTTTGTGTTTTGAATGTAGTACCGCTCTCATAATCAAAATTTCAAATCGCGACTTAATTTTCAACGGACTAGGGTCTAGATTCAACACCTTTGGTCTCAATTGTCATCGTTGAAAAACGACCACGGATCAATTTTCAACCCGGGTTAAATTCTTCGTTAAACCGGCTCATCCAAGTGTAACTTCAAGCCCTATCTGTACCAAACTTTAAGGGATGTTGCTTCTAGAGATTCACTGTTTTAGACTTGCTTAGAATGCTGGATTTCACATTTCTGGATGAGTGCCCAATTAAAGTTAAAAGTTTTGAAGCAGGCCCATTACATTGTACACTCAAGGCCTACCTAGACCAAAAGGATGAACACTCCACATTTAAGATTTGTTCATTTACTGGATTTTACCTACAGATTCTAGTTGAGTGACTAGGGTAAAGTTTTTGGCACTGTCTTATATAGTTTAAGTCCAATTAATCGAATTATTCTTTTTGGACTAAACAATGATGGATGATGCATCTATAAAGAAACCTAAATTGCTTCTCCAACCCTATATTTGACAGGTACATTTCTGGATGAGTGGTCAAATTAAAGGTTTTGGAGCAGATTCAATCTCTTATAAAGTATAGAAGGGTGTTTGATTGATATGGATAATAACAAATGAATTTTTAGTAAGTTGAAATTAAGTTAAATAAATGATACCTGCTTTAACTAGTTTTTCCGGTTTTTTATTTAGTTAATTTTTATTCATTATTGGTCAGAAAATTAAAATTTTCAGTGTATTTTCTTCTGTAAATAATACTTAATATATACCCCCTCGGCAAACAACACAGAAGTTTTGGTATGAATTTGCAAAATTAGAATTTGATTGATTGATTGTATATTGTTTAACGTCCAAAATTAGAATTTGTAATTCTAAAACTGAAGCTGCAAATGTATAGCTGGCTAATCTGAAAAAAATTGGACGACCATCCAATTTTTTTTTACAGGACAAGAGAGTTACAAATCTGCAAGTAATAAATTGATCTTTTTTGTTTCGCGAGTTGGCTTGGGAGACTGTTTTTACATTTTTCAACCTCTCCTGAACCACTGGTCTAAATTCAACCCAAACTTGCTACAAAGCGTTTTGGGGTAGAGAATCCAGGTATTCAAATAAATGAATGTCTTCTTTTGAGGGGGTGGATAATCAATCAAGAAAAGGCAAAAATAGGATGGGTGTCTTAAAATCTTATGAACCACGGGGCCAGAACAGATGAAACTTGTGAAAGCATCGTGAATAAATTAAAACTCGTTTTTTCAAGTCATGATCCCAGGGTTAGGTTTCATTTGGAAGCATCTTCTGGAAATGTATGTTCAATTTTGTTCGAATCTTTTTAAAAACAGCAAAGCCATAAGTCGTTTAGATATGGAAGCATCCTGAGGTAGTGAAGATTCAAGTTTGCTCGAATCATGACCCCCGAGAGCAGAATGGGGCCACAACAATTTTACATAGGTATTTAGAGTGGAAAATTCTTCAAAATGAACACCAAAGCTATAATTAATTGTATATATATGAAAGTATTTCCAATTAATGTAGATTCAAAAAATTCATTTAATATTCATCATAACCGGCCATGATAGATCGTCAAAGTCAAAGGTGAACTTTTTTTTAGAACACCAAGGCCATGATACCCAAGTAAGGAGGAAGCATCCTCACTTAGTGAAGATTTAAAAGGATATTCAAATCATAATCCCCGGGAATCAGGTGCGGCCACCTTAGACAATAAAAGTTTTACGAAGGAATATATTTTAGGAAAGATCTCCCAAAGGACATTTAAGCAATAAGATACTGCCACGATAGACAATCAAAGTTTTACAAAGGAAAATATACTGGGAATGATCTCCTCAAGGACACTGCTGTCCTTAATTAGTCATATTAGTATTAAAGCATTCTAAAGTAGTGTATAGTTAAATCTTACCCCTTTCCCGGGGGGGGGGGGGAACAGTGAGTGAAAAGTTTTACAAAGGATATACTTGAAAATCTGCAGTCAAAGAACAGCAAGACCAAAGTAACTCATATGAGCATTATGATCCATCAATCTCTTTTTTGTCAAACTTTCACCTTTTCATCGATCATTCATTCATAAAATCCCACTTTACCCGCATGCTTAGCGACGTGATAAGAAATAACCAGTGTATATAATGCATTCTGATTTAAGTTACACATGCAAAAAAGTAAATATGCAACATTTTTGTATTATATACATTTTTTTATTGTGACTGAACAAACTCTCTTTCTTAATTTGTTGGTCTTGGCTGCTAGTAAAGCAGAGTTCCGGTAAATCCTGAATGTACATTTTCCCATATGTCAACGCTTCCAGCATATCCTACGTTATCCACTTTGACATGGTCACCACGCTTGAGTTTTACTATCACAGTTCTGCTTGATAGACCCCAACGATTCTTCTCATGAACAGCCCTATAGGCTATCGCTACAGTTTGTTTGTTTACCTTTATGGCAAGCCAGGTTCTTACTCTGGTAAGACTATCAACAACAAACATGTACGTTCCTGCCACTGGACAAACGAACACTCTTGTTCTATCATCATATCCATTACCATCGTTTGTCAGAATTCCATCATATTTAACAGTGTGTCCTTGTCCAACAGTTAGCCGTTTGGTCTTAACATACACGGAGAAACTGATTCCTTGAGTTGGATTTGAAGATCCTGAAAATGTAGTTTTTAGATGAAAGATATTTTTTAAAAAGGTAAAAAAGGACTTCAGTAAAGCGACTGAAAAAAGATGTGTCTAGAGTTTTTATTTTTTATCCAATGATGCTTATTACCAAAGCAACTATATTAAATATTTCTGATCTTGGGCGTGTTTCTGACATTGGCCCTACATTGCCCGATCCTTGTTAACATTTTCTTGAAAAAAAAAGGGAGGTCCTTAAATATGCAATTTGATGAGAGAATACGATATATTGTTAATTGATCTTGAACATCTTTAGCCTAGTGTTTATTTTTTTTAATTTTGCATGCAACAATTCATCTACTTATATGTCTAAGTTCTATGTGCATTCTTCTTACTTTGACTTTATATTTTGCGTTTTTCTTCTTCAACTGATTTATCAAATTTATATATTTCCATTTCTGTTTACAGGTATCTCGTAGAAGATACAATGTGATATCAACAAAATCTTATTTGTATTGAAGAATCATACAGAATTCTTATTTTTGCAAAGGTTTTTGTTAGTTATTTTCAATCATGTACTTATAGATATATCTTATAGCATCTAGATATTGAATGGATAAAAGTCTTGACTTTTAAAATAAGATGACCTTGTTTTTCCTTAATTTTGATTAACTCTTATCCCTAAATGTATAATTGATTTTATTGCGTTATATAGTTCTTCCATTGGATATTGAATCAATTTTCTAAACTTTTCATGTTAGCAAAGAGTAATAATTTTCTTATAAAATACAAGCTTATGAATACTCGAATATTGATTTTTTTTTACTGTACCTGATGTTGAGAGTTTAACCAGTTCCTTCAGAGCTGTAGAGTCCAGTGTAACTGTAGCTTTAGCATTACTGTAGATCAAGGACTTTATGGAGTCCAGCTTTGTCCGTGTATCTGACAATGTTTCTCCTGACACAGCGTGATAATTAATCACAAAATATAGTATCAACATGAATGCTTGAAGATAGGTCATCATTTTTTTATGTTATCAAACGATATTCAAAGAAAAATAACGATAACATTTTAAACCCCAGGGACTATTTATATGATAAGACATACATCTGTGACAGTTAAAGATCATGCAATAAGTTCATCAAAATATTATATATCTTGTGGCTTAATGATTTTATGTTAGATTTTTGTTGTCCCAACTATTTCACCTAAAGCTGACTATATGTGTTATGGAGTCTTGGAGTCAGTAACTTTTTGACTCTCTTTCGCATTAAAATGAGACATTTCTTTCTTCCTTATTTAAACAAAAACATGTATACATAACCATCCCACCAAAATGTACATATCATTCAAAACATACATATCGAGGAGATAAAACACTTACTATCTTTTGGTATACTAATACATGTACATGTATATAAATTCCTTCATTTTCATTCATTTATTTTTTTTTTTTAGGAATACAAAAACTTTTTAAAAAAAATCTTTTTAGCTTTTGTAATGTAGACTACTTAAGGACAGATGAAACAAACAATTTTCTTCTTTGGAAGAGACTTAATTTCATGTCAGAAGTTTAGAAAAGTGGATGATTCTTTGAATTTTTTCTCCTAAGAACTGAAAAATGAAATAGACTTGGAAAATATTTCAATATAATTACAAATATGGATAAAACACACACTCAGTACAGGTTTACAGATGAGAACAAATTTTAGAATATCTGTTTTCACCTGTAAACCTTTACTGAGTGTTAGTTGTCTATATTTTTTTATTGAAATATTACTAATATTTTCCAAGTCTATTTTATTTTCCAGTTCTTAGGAGAAAACATTTTACAAATTATACACTTTTCTAAACTTGTGACATGATATAAAGTCTTTTCCAAAGAAAAAAAAATTTGTATTTTCTGTCCTTAAATTGACTTCTAGAATAAATTTTTTTTGTAATCAGAAAAGCACGACTTAAAATACTTTAATATATGAATGTTGAAATAATATAACACTGTACTCTTTCCTCATATTTTTTTTCAAAATCGAATTTGTGATTGCTTTGTATGAATTTGTTATACTATTGTGGATATTATACGTGTAATAAAGAATATAGATCTAAATGCTTTTATCATTTTTAAACATATTAGGATATCGAGAAGAAAATACGTACGATGTGTCAGTAAGTGAACTTCTCATGAGATATAAATGCAAAGAAGGCCTTTTTCGCTCCTGGTCTATCGTTTGGCAAAATTTACATTTCAGTATAGAATGATTAAGAAATCAACTCAACTTTCAAAGAGTTATCATAGAGAAAACAAGTAGGAATTGTAACTGTAGCCTTAGCATTACTGTAGATCATGGACTTTATGGACTCAAGCTTCGTCCGTGTGTCTGACTGTTTCCCTCCTGACACAGTTTGATAATTAATCACAAAATGTAGTACCAACATCAATACTTGAAGATTTGTCATCATGTTTTGATTTTTAACCGATATTCTAAGAGAAATTACATGTAAAACCAAACCCCATGGACTACATGTATTTATATGAAAAGACATACATCTGTGACAGTAAAAGATCATGCAATAAGTTCATCAAAATATCATATATATATATATATATATATATATATATATATATATATATATATATATATATATATATATATATATATATATATATATATATATATATATATATATATATATATATATATATATATATATTTGTGTGTGTGTGTGTGTGTGAATCAAATTGTTTTGATTAGTTTTCACACTTTATATAATTGATAGCTTTGATTGCTTGGGGTGTACATATTTTGAAAGCCTGAGTTATAATTACCGCATTTGATAATTCAACGAGATGCCGCCACATGCAGACATAATAAGCTTTGAGTTGTAACAAAAGAACAGCTGATTCAAAATCTCTTAAATCACTTGAGCTTAAATTATTCTGAAACCAGCGATTTACTGGACACACCAAATATTAACAATTAATTATGGAGTATGAAAATAATTATTCTCCTTGATTGCTACATATTTCGGGGGGTGAAAAAGAAAGTGTAAACTGGTGATTGACGGTGACGTATTTATTTGTCTTTGTGTGTGAATTCCCTATTAATTTTCGTTATTTTAAAATCGTAAATCTTTGACGATATCGAATGTGTGTATTGTAAATATAATGTCTCTATACAGTATTACTACTATCGATAAGTATAAAATAAGATAAATAAAAGTTATTGATACTTTTACCAAAAATCATCCGAGTAACCGGGTACTCGATCGAAAGATGAAGCGAGTAACCGGTTACTTAAAATCGTCCGATTTGCCAACACTAATATATATATATATATATATATATATATATATATATATATATATATATATATATATATATATATATATATATATATATATATATATATATATTATAACAGTAACTTGGTCCGAAGGGTCGTATCACGTCAATTTGACGGACGCGGATCATCATATCTAACGAGACGCGATCTTCGGATCAAGTTACTATTATAATGATAAATTTATTATATACCCCCTTATAACTAGCTAAATATAGCAAAATAAAACTTTAGAGATCATTTGTATAATATTTATTCATAAAACAAAGCATAATAACAATGGACTTTTTAACGCGCAAGAAAAATAACGTCATCAGTTTCAGAGAGTGGTGATATGGATTCAGAAAACCACAGTGTGGTGATCCGGAGAGTCGGATCACGACGTCACGTGATTGCGTTAAATTTACAGTAAAACTGAGTGATACACTTTAGGTATATAATAAATCATGTTACTTAATGATTTTATGTTAGATTTTTGTTGTCCTAACTATGCAATAAGTTTATCAAAATATCACTTTCTTTTTAAGCTATTTTAATGTAAGATAGTGAAATAGACTTTGAAAATATATTCATTTTTGTTACCAAAAGAGCATTGTTTAAAATACTTGAATTACTGATATAAGTAATAATACTGTATCCCTTTCTCATACATTTATATGCAAAATGAACATTTGCTACTTCTTTGTTTTAATTAATTATATCATTGTGGAATCATAGTTCCGTGATTGTTCTGTTCTTAATTCGTTATCTTTATTTTGCGTCTCAGCACATTTTTTAATTCAAGAAATGCCCCCCCCCCCCCAAAAAAAAAAATCTGAGAAATTAAGATAGAAAGATTCGAAAAGATACAATTAATTATCTTTAATTGTGTGAGCCCTGTACATAATAAAGTCTAAAAAAAAATACATAACAACTTGCTTTTTTATCTCTGATAGAAAAATCTTACATGTTGTTTTCGAAAAGGAAATATTCCCTAAAAAGAAATAACGCTGTAAGAAATTATATACTTTGATATTTCCGATTGAGAATGCTGTGTAATTTTATAAGAGCCCCTTTTGAAGACAATTTAATAAAATGTATACTAAATTATGTACATTTATCTCTGTTTAGTACTGAAAATTCTTTTCTTTTTTTAAATTCTTTTGTATCCCTTTTTTATTGAAATCATTTTCATTATGAAGTACAAATCTCAAACTTTACATTCTTATATACTCTTAATATTCTAATGATATCGAATACTAGTAGCTGCAAACATATTTTCCAAATGTATCTCAACATTTATGCGTTTTAAAAAATACATGCATTTTACAGAATCTTAGGTTATAAAGTTATGCAGATAAAAAAGACATTTCGTATATCCGTTTTTTTTTTTTTTTTTTTTTTTTTTTTTTTTGCGATGATCATGTTTTCGCTTGTTTTGCGACCATTTTTTAATTCGCAAAATATAAAACACACAGAAATTATATCAGCCAAATTTAGCAAATTTAGACCTGTACTCGGCAATAACGGCCTTTGAGCAGTAAGGAATTTTTCGCACCAGCATCCACTGGTTTATACGGCCTCATCCTAAGGGACGACTTCACACAAAGGATTCGCACCTGCGACGTTAGAGATCGATGTTCAGTTAAAAAGATTATCATTCAAATACTAGTAAAATGAATTCAAAAACATGTCTTTTTATGACTTTTCTAACAATTGGTAAAACTGACACAGGTGGATAATTTTATCAATATCAATTAAAAAAAAGGGGGCTAACTCTAGCCTTTTTCCTTTCGGATGGAACCTGACCACTTCTACATTTTGAACACAGAAGTTAATCGGCAATCACATCTAAGCTAATTTTCAACTATTTAAAGAAATAGCATCTAACCAAATAGCCTTGGAATTTGGCATAGCTTTTATTTCCTGTTTAACTAAATCAATTGAAATATATTCAGTACATATACCAATTAATGTTCTACTTTTCATACTGCTTTTCAATGTTCAAATGTGCTATTAATTGTTATATGTACCTTGACCTATGGAGAGAACGATTACAGACATTTATGTTGCTGTTCAATCCAATTCATATGTATATATAATGAAAAATGTATTTTAAACAAATATTCACTACAAAAAATTAATTACATAGTTTAAGGGTTCTCAAAAATTTCGATACATTTCTCTTTAACGTACAAACTGTCCATTTAAAATTGAGGATATTAACATAATAATCATAATAATAAGAATATAAATAAATGAAGTAAAATATAAATTGTGAATATCGATTCATTGATATCTGTTTTGTGTTTTGAATGTAGTACCGGTCTCATAATCAAAATTTCAAATCGCGACTTAATTTTCAACGGACTAGGGTCTAGATTCAACACCTTTGGTCTCAATTTTCAACGTTGAAAAACGACCACGGATCAATTTTCAACCCGGGTTAAATTCTTCGTTAAACCGGCTCACCCAAGTGTAACTTCAAGCCCTATCTGTACCAAACTTTAAGGGATGTTGCTTCTAGAGATTCACTGTTTTAGACTTGCTTAGAATGCTGGATTTCACATTTCTGGATGAGTGCCCAATTAAAGTTAAAAGTTTTGAAGCAGGCCCATTACATTGTACACTCAAGGCCTACCTAGACCAAAAGGATGAACACTCCACATTTAAGATTTGTTCATTTACTGGATTTTACCTACAG